AGCGGCGGCGGCGGAGGGGGCTGAGGCGGCCGCGTCCCCCGTCGGCATGGGGGGCGGCGGCGGGGGGAACGGCAGCGAGGGCGAGCACTGGCCCTGGCCGCCCTGCGACGAGAGGCTGTGCCTGGCGCTGCCGGTGCGGGCTCTCGTCCCCGTCACGGCCGTCTGCCTGGGGCTCTTCGTGGTCGGCGTGGTGGGCAACGTCCTGACGGTGCTGGTCATCCACGGCTACCACGATATGAAGACCACCACCAACCTCTACCTGGGCAGCATGGCCGTCTCGGACCTGCTCATCCTCCTGGGGCTGCCCTTCGACCTCTACCGCCTCTGGCGCTCCCGGCCCTGGATCTTCGGGCAGCTGCTGTGCCGCCTCTCCCACTACCTCAGCGAGGGCTGCACCTACTGCACCATCCTCCACATCACCGCCCTCACCGTGGAGCGATACCTCGCCATCTGCTTCCCCCTCAAGGCCAAGGTGGTCGTCACCAAGCGCCGGGTGAAGGCTGTCATCGGCGTCCTCTGGGCCTTCGCCTTCCTCTCTGCCAGCCCTTTCTTCTTCCTGGTCGGCGTGGAGCAGCCCGACAACCGCACCGACAGCCGGGAGTGCAAGCCCACCCCACAGGCCATCGAATCCGGTCTGCTGGCCACCATGTTCTGGGTTACCACCTCCTACTTCATCCTGCCCGTCATCTGCCTCAGCGTCCTCTACGGCTTCATCGGCCGGGAGCTGTGGCGGAGCAACGCCCGCCTGCGGGGCCCCAACACGGTCCTCCGGGAGAAGGGCCACCGCCAGACCATCAAGATCTTGGGTGAGTCTGTCCTTTGTCCCACCTCGGGCTGGGGGGCCACGGCTGGGGCTAGGACTGGGGTGTGGGGGCCATGGCTGGGGCTAGGACTGGGGTGTGGGGGCCATGGCTGGGGCTAGGACCAGCGCCAGTGGACCCACAGCTCCCGCACAGGGTAAGGATAGCCCAGGGGAACATCCCAGCCGGGCCCTCCAGCACCCCCGGGGGCTGCCACAGCAGGGATTTCGCTCCCTCAGGGCTGAGGCTTCACCTGCTGTAGCACTGCACATGCAGCAGCACGGCTGCCTGCTGCAGAAATAGCCTTTGCCTGAATTTTAGCTGGCAGAACTGAGTACAAGGTAGTCTGCCACTTCAGAAAAACTGTGGTAACATCAGTAGTTGCTGATGTTGCCTCTTCCAGTGGGCAGCGACACCTCTGGGTAGTCAATTTCTGCTTCTGAAAAGTAAGTTTGATTTTTTTTTAGCGGTTTTGCTCCTAGGAGTAAATCCACTGGCTGCCCAGGCAGGCTGAAAATCAGCAGTTTAACCCTTACAAATTGTTTGTAGAAAAATCATGTAATAGCAAAGCGCTTCCTGCTGATGTAGGATGCGGTTAATTTTTAATTCATTTTCTCAGAGCTCTGTTCATTAGCCCAGCGTCAGGCTCTGGTAAGTTAGAGATCGCAGTCTGCCCTTGGGGCTTTAAAGTTTGTACATAGTGACCGATCTGAAGGAAAAAAAAAACAGGAAAGAAAAAGAAGGCCAACTATTAAGTAATGAGCATAAAACAAAATGCCCTGGTTATTTTTTTTTCTACCTTTAGCAAAGGCTTTACGTGTGCCCTGGTTTGGGGTAGAACAGAACCAACTTTCTGTTCAGTAATTTTACTTCTTTGCTCAGCCTCTCACCGTGCTACTTGGGAGAATTCTTTTCCCAAGGATGTAATCGGCTGGATGGAAATAGCGTAGCACAATGGAAAGAAACCAGTAAGTCAGAGAGAGTACATTTTGCAGACTTAGTTGAGGAAGTTATTTACGTTGGAGTGGGCACAAGGTTTTCCAATAGGAACACCCGTGTCCACGATGTCCTCGGAACCCACCGAGCCAGACCAATTCTCCCTTATCTCCAAGAGCCGGCAGCACGACGTGTGTGGTGTATGTCATGTAAGCTTGCTTGGGCTATATGCCTTTTTTTTTGAGCTCTCAAAAACAGGAATGCTCCATAAATGATTATTTGTTTTACTTATGTGCATTTATAAACAAAGATAATTAAAAATACGGATTTGGTAATGTGCTTATTTAGTCGGTCCTCATCTGCTTCTGCAATGTTGCCATTCCAAGACGGTTTATATTTGTTTGTACTGTGCTAAAACACCACACAAGAGCAGGAAAAAAGCTGGAGTGACTCAGGCTAGAGATCCACTATGTCCAATATCTGTCTCCAGCAGTTATTGTCTGGGGATATGTGTAGGGGCTCCGCTGGAAAAAAAAATAACCAATAGACCAGCTACACTGTAAGACTTTACGTTAGCAGCCGCCCCGTTACAATGGTGCGGATTCAGTGGGTGACTGAGGTTCAGCCCGTGCGCTACGGGCTTCTGCAGTAACATGGACGTGTTAAAGAACAGCTCTGTAGCCAAAGAACAGCCCTGTAGCCACTGGAGCTGCCATGTGCTTCCACAAAAAAACCCCACAAACTCCTCTTACGCTGATTTTTGTTTTCCTATCACATTCATGGCGTTACAGACGTTCCCGAGGAGAATCTCTGTTGTGCCCGATGTTGTTATATGGCTGTCCCACCACTGTTGGTTGTTCACATTCCTCTCAGCAAACTCATCTCCTGGTTTAGCTGAAGATTTTACAAGTCACCTTTCAATCCAAAGGCAAACAACCAGACTTGATGCTATTCCCATTTTCATGGGAATTTTCCAACCATTTGATGCTGTTATTTCTGTGTATTGTTTGTACCAGTTAGAAGAACCTGTAAAATCAGCCACGTAAAATTTAGTTTACTGGACGGTTGAAAAGTTAACACGCTCCTTAACTATCGCCTGTGTTATTTTGTCTTATAGCTGTGGTGGTTCTGGCCTTTGTAATTTGCTGGTTGCCTTTCCACATTGGCAGGATCATATTTATAAACACCCGGGACACCAGGACGATGCTGTTCTCCCAGTACTTTAACATATTTGCTCTGCAGCTTTTCTACCTGAGCGCGTCCATCAACCCCATCCTCTACAACCTCATTTCGAAGAAGTACAGGGCAGCAGCCTACAAGCTGCTGGTGCCGCGGCGAGCGGCAGGAAGGGCTTTCCCGGTGGCCAAAGAAGCCGGTGGCTACACGGAGACCAGCGGGAGCACGAGGAACGAGTACGCCACCAGCTTCTGAGCCCGCGCCCTGCTCCCTGCCGGGGAAGGGAACTGCCTTGTCACAGGAGGGTCGCAAAAGGCTGGACGTTTGGCAGGGCCTGTGTTATTCCACAACCATTTGTATTCTGAAATGCTTGTGTTTCTGTGAACGGAGCAAGCAGAGAGCGTAAAGTAGAGCGAGCGGCGTGCAGCCGTGAAAGAGGACTCGGCAGGATAAGCTGGAGCAAATTGCCAGTGAAACTGGGGTTTCGCTTTATTACATATTGTTCATTGCATGTCTTCTGTGCCGTGTCTAGTGTTCGCTGAAAATCGAGGCTGGCAAAGAAGGAGGGAGTTAGAGGCCACAGCTCCGTGGGGGTGCAGTAATGGGTAAAACTCCCAGCCAGCCTTCGCCGTTCTAAAATGGTTTTCTTATACATGAGATTTTTCAAAAAGACAGTCCTGCAGGGAGATGGACGCAACAGAAATTGCCCACCACCCTGAATATCCTGGGAAGAAGGGGGCATATATTTTTAGTACCTGCCCTTGTAATGGTGAGCAGGAGTTTTCTGGGCAGTTTCACTGACCCGTCCCTTGGGAAAGCGTCTCCTCTGCGCAGTAGCCTCTGGGCTTAACCCTTTTGGTTCCCTTGGGTCAGTGGCGCAGTAGCCTCTGGGCTTAACCCTTTTGGCCTGACCCACGCGATCAAATAAGGTCTCTTATTTATATACTAGCCACCAATCTCCTATATCTGTAAGAGTTTAGATATTTCCTGATGGCTTCCCCGTGATAGACCTGCAATGTTGGGTAAATCTTAGTGGAACATCCCCTCTGCATGACATTATGTACCACGCGTCCAAATAATACGCCAGGTTAACCCGTCCCGCCACAAACCAGACCCATCACCCTCCGTGCTGTGCTGCACCCCGGACTTACACTGCACTGCGAGTCAAAAGCCAACTCACTCATTTTCCTCCAAAGATTTTAAATACAGGCTGAAACTATACGGTTTAGGAAGGAGGCTTGTTGTGAGGAAGAGCTAGAAGGCTTTTACCTACATTCCTGGTCTGGACTGGCATCCATGAGGTGGGACTGCGCTTAACAGGAGCATCACTGGTGGTGTGTCCGTGCTTGCCCTTGGCTGTCTGTTAACCTTTGTTAATTAATTAACAAATTAATTAATTAATGCCTGTGGATCAAAAAAGAAAAGTGGCGTTTGCTGCACGCTGGAGTTCACTGCTGCGGTGTTTGCTGCCACGCGAAGGCGGAATTCAGCATCCAGCTCGGGGATCTCAAGGGGGTAGAGTTGGAGCCCAGCCTTCTCCGGTTTTTAAAAAATACAACCAATGCTCCCTTTAACAATCCGTAGCTCTGGGTCACTGAATTAAAACAAAAAAAATAAAAATATTTAAAGCCAGAAGAAAAGCCCTAGCTCGCTGCAATCACGTTAAGCTTTCTTCTTCTGTCAGCTTCCTACCGGGGGAGAGCAGACGTCTGCAGGGCTTGGGTTGGGTTGCTCTTGCTTGGGGGCGGGGGGGGAGGAGGGGGTGGGTGTCATTAAACTGTTGCAGTAAAAGAACAGCTGGTGTTTTGTGTTTGTTTGGACAAGTTATTTTTAACAGTAATCTTTGCAAGTGTACATAAACTGAGGGGAAGAGCTTTTATTGCTTTGTCACATCGAGATGTATCCGTGCAGCCTCTCCCGCGTGCCTGCGATCCGCTGGGCAAGGCTTCTCCTTTATTCCGGCACCTACATTGCGCTGGGAGATAAGCACTTCCCGGCAGAAATGGCCACAAAAAGCAATCGCAGGGGTACCCGCAGCACGAGGAGGCAGGGAAATGCCTTAATGGGATGCTGCACTGACCCCCCCCTTTTCTGGGGTGCCCAGGGCAGGGCCTTGTGTCCTCTGTCCCTGTCCCTCATGGCTGGGACCCCATCAAGCCACCCCCTCGCAAGCTTTCCAGGAGGACACCGTTTCTTGGGGGGGCTGCAGGCTTGGGCTGCTCCTGCTCAGCCTCCGACGCCGCAGCAGAAGGCTTCTGCTCCCGCTGGCAGGCTCCGTGAAAACGTTCTGCTTTTCTGGGAAAGTCACTTGTACCCCTGTTATAAATATCCCTTTTGCACGTTTTGGAGAATAGCACAGGCAGCAGACGGTGCCTTTTTTGCTAATGCCCTGTTGCTGCCAGAACAGACGCCGAGGGCACCAGAGATGGAGTTTGGGGAGTTTCCTCAGAATGAAGTTGGGCCTGGCACTGCTGTCTCTGGCGGTCCGTGCTGCATTGTGTAAGGAGAGATGTTGTAAATGAAAAATAGCGCAGTCTTACTTATTCCCAGGAACTCTGGGTTCAGGTGCAGCCTGAAGAGTTATCTTTAAAAGAAGTATTTCAGAAGTAGTTTCCGTACAGGCTATAAAATAGAAGGGAAAACGGATTAGAGGCGCAGAGCAAGTTTGCCAGGCAGAGAGGAAGAAATAATGATGATAATTTTTAAACCAGAGAGAAAAGGGGGGAGATTTAAAAGAAAAGCACAAAGAATGGATGATAAGAAGAAAACATGTGTCTTAAGAGAACACTTAATTACACTGAAACACAGAGGAAGGAAAATCAGTGATCTGACACTGCCCACAACTCACCCTGGGGAGCTGTTAGATGGTACTGAAGAAGACCTTAAACCTAAATTAACCTCCTGAAGTTTGAAAGGGATCTAGACCTGTTCATTCTTAAACACATGAACGGGATTTTCTGACCGTAGCCTAAAGCAGGGGGATGCTCACCAGGTCCCGGGGGCTTCGGTGGCGCAGGGTCGGCCTCTCCCATTCGCTCGGGGACCTGTGACCTGATCGCCTGCTTCCAGAGCAGCTGGGCACCCACCACTGACTGCCAGGCATCAAAATAAATTTTAAAAAAAAAAAAAAAAAAAAAAAGGAAGAAAGAATGAGAAGGAGCTGGTAGCTCAAGTTGAGAAAAGACACCCGGAAAATCCATGGAAACCCTCCTCTGGCAGGGAGGTCACATCTGCAAAATCTTACGGGTTTGATGCAGACGCATAAAGCTTGTGAAAGCTTTACAGTCTAAACAGTTGTGACAGAGGAAGGAGATCGATGGTCTCTGATTAATAGATCATTAGCACCAGATCTACGCGTGGCTGCTTGTGTGTCCAACCTCCCGCAAGCCCACCCTGAAAGCCGCTGTGGCTCCTTAAGAAATTTTTTTCACATCAGTAGTTTGTCACATCTTTTCGGCTGCCCCCTTAAGCAGACAGAAAGGAAGCTGCTGAGGTTATTGGGAAAAGACATTTGCATATTTCGTTAACTTCAGCCTAAGCCAGTCTGTGGATAAGACCCAGGTTCATTCCAGCAAGTCAGGTATTCCCATATTTACGATCCTGGTGTATCAGAAACAGGGAAAGCAGCAGCCACGGCAACCAGCAACACCAGGGCAAACGCCAGAAAGTACCTCCTTGACAATCTTCCTATTTTCTAATTTCCATATATTCATTAAACAGCTGTAGGTGGTGGATATAACTCCACAATAAATTGGGGGTATGATATTCCCTGGCTGTAACATAATTGCATTTGCATTTGTAGCATAACACCATGTCACCGTTTCACTTAACAGGACTCTGAATTAAATATGTGTTAGACTATCTAAATTAGACAATAGCTATTAGAAATCTGTTCTAAAAATGGAATTTTTGTTCTAAAAGACACATGGAAAATTAGTTGTTTCTTACTGCAAGAACCAATATTTCTCTCCTCATTTTAATCCGACAGCCTGATCTCATAAGGGATATCAAAGCGCCTTTCACTCATAGTGAGGTGACACCTCAAGATTTATTGCTTATTTCCCACTCAGGAAAACACTCACGGAGGTATGATGTGCTCAGTTTTAACCAAAACTTTTTCCTGGATTGGAAACAAATGGTTCTTCTTGTCCTTGTGGAACATCGGCATTTGGGGTTTTTTTAGCAATTGCTGTAGAATTTACAGAGACTTTTACAGAGCTTTATTACAAAAAGACAAACAAATCCTATTTCCCTTTTCCCTGTCTCTTCAGACATCAGGGCATCTCCTGCAAGGAATTGAAACCTTTAAAGATCAGCTTCCAAATGCTGCCATTCCAAAAAGTAATTGCCAGAAACTGGATAGCGGCACCACAGAATCACAGAATTTTCTAGGTTGGAAGGGACCTCAAAGATCATCTTGTCCAACCATCAACCTAACTGACAAAAATAGACACCCGCACAACAAACAAGAAGCAACACCATCACTAAACCATACCTCCCAGCACTACATCAACCTGTCTTTTTAACACCTCCAGGGATGGTGCCTCAACCACCTCCCTGGGCAGCCCATTCCAATGTCTGATGACCCTTTCAGTGAAAAAATTTTTCCTAATATCCAGCCTGAACCAGTTTTGTGGGATCCTTCCCACAAAAAGGAAAAGGCAGTTCTGCAGGGAAAACCCCAGGGCAGCAGCAAAGACCCACTGGGGGCTGCGCAGAGCTGCCCTGAGGCATCACACGGGCAACTCCTTCCCCTCGTGCCACTCACTGCCTGCGGGATTTTGGCATCGGGGCAGGGTGAGGAGACTGTCACCTCCTGCCCCAACCCCCACGTGTCACCTGCTCCCTCCTACGTCAGGCTTTCCCCTTGGCTGGCGCTGGCCGGGCTCTGGAAATAAGAGGCGTGTTGTTCTCTGTAACGTACCAACAACCGACCTTTTGGTGAACAAACACTCTCCAAGTTCAAAGCTGCTCTTAGACTTGCTTAAGATGATGCCGTCTCCAGCTGGCCGGGCAAAACGGAGAGGTGCTGGGACACGTGTTTTCTTCCTCCCCTTAAAATCCCACTTGGTACCGCGCTGCGTCGCTCCCACGGGACACGCGAAGCCTGAGGGCATCTCTGTAATTCAAGCAAAGAGATTATACAAAATAATATAAAAACGGAAAAAGAGCCGGGCATGAGGTGATGCAAATGCGACCAAAACTGCCCTGAATTTGGTAAAACATCGTCCTGGCTTCGGATCAGTCCAGCCTGATGGGAACAAGCCCCAGTGTCCCTGGGCTGCCACCTCCTATTTGATTCAGGAACAGGCTTAACTTCACCAAAAGAAGCCATTTTTGTACCAAAATGAGTACCCAGAGATCTATTCCCACTGCTTTAGGGAACTAT